TTATGTTACTAAAACATTATTCATATAAAGTTGAAGCACTGCTAATTTTTTACGTCTCTTGCTTCAGAAATCCTAATGACTCTACAGTGGCGCCCGAACAAAAGATGGTGGATAATAATTCCTCACCACCAGCATTTGGCGACTGGGTCCCCTAATCCACAGTCGCTTTTTAAAATGGGGAGTATATAAGATATTTTTTCCCTTTTTTTCTGAGTGCCTTCGTGGTATAACGGTAGCACACTCGACACGTATTCGAGAGGTTCAGGTTCGAGTCCCGATGAGGGCATTGTTCATTTTTCATGTCTCCTGCTTCAAAAATCCTAATGACTCTACGATAAACTATTTCTAGAAGTATATATATATATATATATTATTTCTGGAAATACAACATCGCTTTTTTTTTATATTTATTTTAGAAATACAATACCACTTTCTAATAATACTTTTTTATATAACTATTTAGTCTACTGCGCCCTTTTTTCTTTGAGTTGGAGCCCTTTACTGTAATTAATTGCCAAATTCTTTCGTTGCACTAATTACTTATACTTTTTTCAATACAAAATCAGCTCGGATTCATCTTCAAAATCCTTCCGTATATTTATTAAATCAAATTTTATCGTTTTTCTTTTTTTTTTTTCTTTTCTTTTCTTTTCTTTTTTTTTTTTTTTTTTTTTTTTTCTGCGATAAATTTATATCTTTAATTGCACATTAAGAGTGACTTCAGCTTAGATTTAAAATAAAAGTTTAAAATAAAAAATTGAACTAAATGACAAAAATTCAGAAAATGCTGTACATGTTATGTTTGCTGTTTCTTTAACAGAAATTAACAGTCATTCTACATATCGGACAGATAATTTTTAGAAACTCAATGCAAGACTCAATTATGAGTCCTATTGAAGTCCTTTAAAAAGAAAAACTTTGTACGACCTCACACGATGTTTGCGTAATAGGTTAAAAACAGAAACCGCAAATAACCTGAATGATATAATTTATTTTTTCAGACTATTAATTTATTATATAACCTACATACCGTATTCTTCATTTTAAGGCTGAACTTTTTTTTAATTGACACAAAAATGCTTCTGTGTAATCGGTGTGCGTCTTGGAGCCGATGATAAATTATAGCCATTGTAGATTTTATTCCATTACTAAGTAATTAATTTCTTAATATTACTAATTCAGACAATTACATTGTGCCACCCAACAGGTATAGCGGTTAGCGTCGCTGACTGCCGTCAGGAAATTCCTTGCCACTTGAGTTAATGTTACTGTGAGACAAGTGAACATGAGTAACAATAACGACAATTATATGTGACTGTTAATAAATCAAAATCAATTATTAAAAGGCTATTTGCTAGATGAATTTCATCCTTTTATTTTGATGACATTATTTGCTTTGAATAGATAGGATCATTTGATTTGATTTATGGCAAAACACGCGAGAGTTATTTATATGAGGGCAGAAAAACATTTGTAGAGGACTTTTAAGGGAAAATGACTCGTATTCGCGTTACACGGGAGGAAAATTACGAAAATTCCCGTGCAGCCAGTCTCTTTGAAGGGACTCAAACACGGGTCTGTTTAACGACACTTCCATACGACATTTCCGCACAAATAAAAAACAGGGAATAAAGTCATTGCCGCTTCTCCTGTCACAATTTCCTATTTCCGCAGGAAAATTTTCATTATCCAACCAGTGACTCAAAAACGTACCAACGATTTCTCTTAATGTATGTTTCTTTGTGCAATCTCCTATTATTAACCAGCCTTCATGAACGAGTTAGGTATTGTGGGGGGGGGAAGGGAGATACGGCAAAGTATGGCGATATTACGGCAAAGTATACCGACATTATCTTCGAAGGAAGGGATGTCTTTTCGGAGCACTTTTTGAGAGAAATTTATTTGTATTCACGTTACTTACGAGAAAAATCAAGAACCCCAGGATCCAGCCCGTTCGCTGGAATTGGAAACCAGATCGAACTACCAGTGTTTAACGATTTTGCTCTTCAGTCGCTGGAGGGTTGAGCTGCTGAGAAAAACGCACCAAATGTGTGCATATTCTAACACATAATGTGGCCAACGCACTTAATCGGGTTTCACCCTTCCCGATGGGGATTTACCATGCCAATGGTTTGGTTGTATAGCCAAAACTCTTGGTTGGATTAGTAGTCAAATTTTTTTAATAGTTTTGTCGGAAATAAGCCCGTTGTGTAATCAGAGCCGGTGCAACTTAACTGATGCAGCTGCACCGGGCAGGAGAATTCAGACCAAATAAAAATTTTGAAATTTAATAAGCATCGAGAAAAAAAAATTTTCGAATTTTAATAAGGCACTAGACAGCAGAATTTAAAGAAAGCAAAATTTTTTAATTTAGGATGACACCAGACAACAGAATTTAAGATGCACAGAGATTTCACTGGGCAACAAAATGTCTAGCTCCGGCCTTTTGTACATCAGTAATTGTTTTTTGCACAATATTGTTTTTTGCAACACTATTATAACGTGCTCCGAAATCCATCCAACCTTTTTCTTTAAAACTTGAAAAAAAAATTTTTTTTTATAAAGGTCCTTTTTTTTCTGTTATTTTCTATTTTTTTCTGTTTTTTTTGAATTTTATTTCTGTTATTATTGTTATTATACAGTATTGCGTCATTTTGTTTTTACATTTTTTACATCGGAGCCTATCCTCCAGCCGCCACTTTATACTCGTCCTAACTATTGAATCTCTATGTAAGGAATATAACTGAGAACATTCCTTGCAGTTATATTTGAATATTCCATTCATAAAATGTCTTTTGCTTTATTTCAAAATCTGTCTACTCTTTCCTGTACTGAAGATGAAAATTCTGCGAATGTTACTGCTGTCGCATAAAAGAAAGCTGTTAAAATCGGAGGAAGTTTTGAATCATTAGAGCGATCTGCTTCCAGCGTGGTATTTGGAACTTCCCGAAGTATTCTACAAGAGCTAAAATTTTGAGATGATGGTATATAGCATTAAAAAAATACCTCTAAAAACAGTCTATTATAATCCTTATTAAAAAATGCTCCAGACGTCTTCTAAATGCTGTCGTCAATAGAATTATGTTTTGGCGATGTTAGGCTTATATAATAATAGTTTTATAACTTTCAAAATTGCACCATCATCCATTCTTTGCATTTTTCAATTTATTACATTTATTTTCAGTTCATTACATTTCCAAGCAGTGTTTTAGAATTTCCATTAGCCCGCAGTTGCCGAAATTAACTGTATAGTTGTGGACTGCACATAGCTACCTTTCAACTCTTGGAATACATATATTAATTTTAAATTTAATTTCTTGAAAAGAACGCCGAAAGCATTAAATTACATGAGCATCACTGAGATCGTTCGCCATCAAATCAGGAATGGACGTTATTAAAAAAAAATCACGCATGCAATCAATCATGAGTTAGTTGATCGTTTCTGATCGGCTGTGCGAAAATATAACTTGTTACTCCTGATTAGTTAAGGTAGTTAGAAAATTTGTTACTTCCTTATTGTAGAGGTCTCCGACTTTACGCAGCCTATGATTTCACCAAACTCGTAAAGCTCTAATGTAAAAACAAAACGACACAATACTGTATAATAACAATAATACTGTATAATTATATGTATATTTTATAATAATAAGAATACTTTTAATAATAATTAAAGGTATTGTAACCAGCAGTTTATCTGCTTTGCATTCCTTCCAGCCAGTCTGAATAAATCGTTAATCCATCTTTAGGGAGTCACCGCACAGCCTAATTTAGGACTCACAGAGATTGTACCTGGAAGTAACATTACTAGCTTCGGCCCTTGCATTTGAGAAATGTGTTCGTTATCGTTTCTGAAAATACTAAGGCTGTTCGCACAATTTTTAGGTGATTTTAGTTGTATTTGCAAAAATATTTGACGCAAAATTTGTGTTTTAAATGCTTCATTTGATAACTCTTGTGCTTCAGTATCTTTCTACACCTTTATTTCCAATAGAATAAAGCTTTTTGTAGTAGCGGAAGTGGTATTTCATCTCATTCCTCTTGAACAGTTTTCCAAATTCCAAGGAAGGTTGTAGGTCAACGTTTGGACAATCCGCTTTTTTAAAAGTCCAGAAGCGCAAAAATCCGTGGATGATACATGAGAAGATTTTGTAGGGATACGCGTAAAGGGTATGGACTTTGATACATGTTTCTTGTTCCATTTTTTTCCAGGAAATTAACAGTAGATTTTGATGTGCGGCTGCATGCTTTGTCTTGATGCAGTTCTGATGGATGGCACTGTGGGTAAAGAGAAGATACTTCATATATGAAAATTGGGTCTAAAATATATTCCTGAACAGTTAACCTGAACAGTTTTCTGTACTATCTTTAATTTTTGTTTGTCGTTATATCAAAAAGCAGCAACAATCATAAATCCCTTTGAAAAACCTTCTTTAGATTAAGACACAATAACACGCCGAATAAATACTAATTCAGAAGTCAAACAACAAAAATCAGCGTTATATTTTCATAATTTTCGCAGGACTAATTTTGATAGTTTTCGCAAATTCGAAAACCGATTTTGCTGTTTCGCAGCTGAGGATGGTGGTTCGGTAAAAACCATCGAAACTAGTCCCTGCGAAAATTTTGAAAATATAACGCTGATTTTTGTTGTTTGACTTCTGAACTTCTTTAGATTTTTTGAACCATGACATATAATCAGGAACTGTTTAGATTTTTAGAGGCACCAAACATTAAAAAGATTTTGGTGCCCCACGCTAAGTATAATGCCCGCTTCCCTCATTCTTTATCTCCGAGTCTTCGGTTAGCTGCCACATACATTCCATTGTAAAACCCGCAATAAGAAATTATTGTGATGCATCCGTTCTTTGAGTCCCTTTCTGTGATACCCTAAGAAAGTACTAATTTTGCTTAATTTTTACATTTTTACGTTTGCAAGTGTATAAAGTCTATCAATTTTGTGAACCTTACTGTTTAATTAAATTCTCTTTTTTTATTAATAGGGAAAGTCAAGGACTTCCGACACAGGCAGTCCACAGTCATGGTTGTGTGCAGTACCTCCATAGTTCCCTTGGCGCCAGCTTCTTGTCCTGTAACACCTACAGCTATTCATCCCTATCCTCCTGGACTATGCTCACTGAGTCCAGTAAATGCTATGACCTGCAATCAAAGGTATCCTACTATCCTATCGACGGGTCCAATTTTAGCCTCGACTCCTGTGCCTTGTCAGCCTGGTTTGTCAACATCGCCAGTAATTCGCTATAATCAAGCGTCCTCTAGTTCTCAAAGTACACCAAGCTCCACAGACACTTCTCCGGACAATTCGAATGTTTTTACGTGCAATGTTATGGCTCCAAATAATGGTGTCCTAACTTCAAATTTAATACCTTGTACAACGACTAGTATAGTGCCTTTAACAAATGGTTTGTCTCCAGTTATACCTTATAGTCCCCAAGGACCACCTACAGCGACCATTCTGCACTGCAGTCCGAAATTAACGTGCAATCAAGGAACTGCAACAAGCTCTATGTCACCAGTTGTGCAGTGCAATCAAGGAATATATACTTGCAGTCCTGCCTTGCCAACTTCAGCTGTAGTACCTTGTACGCAAAGGGTGATAAATGGAACATCGGTATTGCAGTGCACCCCAGGCGTGTGTCAGTTTACACCTACCGCCGTTCTTCCTACTGGAGCCGTAGAAATGTGTCCGATTCCGCCAACTCCTATATTATCCAGTAATGCTGCGGTCTATCCTATCACACCACCACTCCAAATACCACAGAATGTTTGTGCGGCAACACCAGCTTCTCCTTGGAAGCAGTCCTAGTAAGTATGAATAAATATTTTTATTATTGGAATCTGTCTTGAACCAGTTTTTAATTCCATCTCGTGAAGTGCACCATGCTTTACTTATAATTTACGCAGTTACAAATTACAGCAGAGCAAATAAATAACACAGACTTTTTTGTAATATTGCTATTAAATAAAAAATATCAGTGAGTTCTTCAAACTTTTATCTTACTAAGAATACTATATTTATACTTAGAAAGGTATAAATTGAATACTTTTTAAGAATTTTTACATACAAAGGTATAAATTGCTGAGTAAATGTAATGTAGCACTGCTTTCTGAAAAATTACAGTCAATAATCGCGAGAATAGATCAGATCTTCTTTACACTACAGAAAACTTCTAAAATTCATATGAAACGTCTTTCAATAACCTAATGACATCAAAGCAAGTGAATAAAAACACAATTCCTTTCTTTTTACCTGCTATATTAAAGACGAAATGTTTGTTTGAGTGTAAACCCTTTTATTTTTTAGGCTGCAAATGGAAGTTTTTGATCTTCAAATATATAAATAACATCCCTAGTTTTCTCGAATATCTCAGTTTTTAAAGTATATAATGGTATATATGGGTGTGCTAATAGAGTGTTGCAGTTTCACATGCAATGTACTCAGACGCCTCAAATATAATATGTAGTATTTCAGATAATTTAATACCTCAGATATAAAATGATGTGTGAAATATAGAATAAATCATTATTTTTAATTTTATTGAAGGAAAATAATTTCCCTGGAAACAAGCTGAAAAAGTAATTCATTGCCAGCAAAGATATTTTCACAGATTCCCCCTTTCCTTCTTCTTTTCGCTTTCTTTTTATTTATCTCTTTCTCTCCTTCTCTTTTTTAAATACTTTAGTATAAATGAATTGAACTGATTTTTGAGATAATTAATTTCAACCAAAAATATTGAAAATATTGCTATTAACGAATTTTTTGGGCAATTCTGTTTCTTTTACATTTTATAATGTAGAAGGCGCAGAGAAAATGTTTTGTAAAATTAAAACTTTGAAGCATAATTTTACATTCATTAATGACAGTATGTGTGGGGTAGACGTGGGTTTTCGTAAATGAAAATGCTCCCCTCCATCCAGGCGGAGAGTATTAAATAAAAATATGTGCAACCAATGTACGCAGGATAAATGGTTATGTAACATATAATGTACAATAGCTTTTTTGTATTTCAGTTAATTCCTCAACTTATACAAACATATCCTTGTATTGATAATGCATTGGCAATACTGTACAACTTGGAATAAATACTAAACGGTATAACAAGTAAAACACTATTTACTCCTATTATGCATGTAAATATTGGTAAAGATGGAAACCTTTCGATCTGTAAGGAACTTGTTGTTATTTATTGGTTGAATATATTCACGTGAAGATCCATAGCTTGCCTGTACAACAGCTGTTGCACACGGAAGTGCAGTGTCATGTTCTTACTACAAGTCGTTCGCCGTGAATTGAATACGTTACCAGGTAGGTGCAAAACATCAGTTGACATCAAAATGTCATATCTGGAACTCTCGAATCAGCAATTTTTTTTGCTCGACAGACGCATAATGAGTTATGTTATGACTCAGTGCTTTGAAGTATCCTTTCCTCCTACCTCAGAGAAATGGCAGCTTCTTTTATTCCACATAACTCTCTGTCCGTAGAAAATATATAGCGATTATTTTGCTTCGTAAAGGAGGTTGAAATAATAATAAAATAATTGCGATTATTTTCATATCGTATTTTAATGCTGTTTAGTAGTCTTACGTACACTAATGCTGAAGTAAGAAATATAATGTTATATTTGTCCTAGGAAAAAATTTTACAGCTACAGCGGCAACAGCTGTGTAATGTTCCAAAGAGTCCTAACTTCATTCAAGTCCTCTCTTTCAGGTATAAAAAAAATTAGGTAACTGACAAGAATTATTTTAAGCATTAATAACCACAGGTATAAGTTAAGATGGAATCATTTCGATAAATAAAATATTAGTGTATGAAAAGTAGGATCAGATACTGACGGAATCGTTGCTAACAGATGCATCCAAAGTTGACCAATATGTTTTGGTTGCCCGAATACTTAGAGGGTTTCACTTGATGTGGTAATATGACTTAACCTGAAGTAACCTGAACAGACGTGAAGTAGTTTATCGTTATGCTTGAGAACAACGACAAAGTCTTGGGAAGGTAATAATAACCTTTTTATTCAAACAGAACTTGGAACAGAAGTGCTACAATAACCACAACTAGAGATACAATAACCACTAGTCTACTAGTCTATTAGTCTCGTGCTACAATAACCACAACTAGTGGTAGAACAGTCAAGTTTAAAGTAAACGTTGAATAAAAATAAAAGACTACTTTACAATTAAATACTATATTAGAAGCAGGCTCAAGAACTTCAATTGTGTCAGATTTAAAGTATCGGCAGCGAGACACCGCAAAGACGAATAATTACAACTGTTAGAACTGGCAGGAACTAATCATATAGCGACAAGCAATGCCAAAACACTCTGTGTCTCAAATCTAAAAACCTCAGCTTAAATACTCACAAGTAATTTGCCCTCTAGCGAAAGAATACGGAGATTAGAAGTTATGCTAAAGACTGAAATCACAATAACTGGTTAACTAACGTTTTCCCCACCAGAGTTTCAGCGATCGCAACGAAGGTCTTTAACTACCTTGCTAAGATTTTAAATTCTAAGTTTACAACATGAGCCAGTTTTACAGTTATTATGTTAAATATCTAAAACTAAATTAAAATGTCTTGTCATCACTGTTTAGTACAATCTCAGTTCTTTCCGGGCATCTGAAAGACAAAATAGTTTAGCAAGCAAATATTTAACAGTTGTACTTTTTAACTTGCCTTTTACAACTTTATCAAAATCTTTTTAGCATTTTACTTCTTCTACACACAAGCTGTCACAAGCCGTGCTGTCAAGCATTGTAATGCATGCATGTGCGCGTGAAATTGTGCAGTTTCCACAAACTAGCTGCTAACCAAAATCCTGCACTCGTTAATAGCTTAGACAAACTAAACCTCAACAACACTATTTCAAGACTATATCTCTAAGGTTCTAAACTTAATTTTCATTAAATTTGTAAGTGTTGGTTGGAGAGTCTAAACTTTTGACTACTTAAATTCACCACATCAGAACTTTTAACTTTTAAAAAAGCAGTTAGTTGAACACTTAACTTTTACAAAACAGTTAACAACAATACTTCCTGAAAAAACATTGAAATTCATTTGCATTCGAAAGATTGTACCAAAATTTTTCTCAATACAATCTCTTGGACTATAACCACAGTATCATGTATATACCATAAATATCAAGGTAGGTGTATAATTAAATTGAAAAAGAAGCTTTTTCTTGCTGAATAAAAACTTGGATGATCTCGCTTGACGCAAAAATTAACATCACAACCGTTGCATTAAGACATAAGTGAATATTTCTTGTCTAACTACGTGTCGTCTGAAACTTCCTCTGGTTCGCCGGGAACTTTGACCGTAGCCCTGATTTGCCATCAGTTGGTCGTTTGCTGCGTCTGGCTTGTTTGGTCTTTCATTGCAAGTCTTATTCGTAACTGGAGTTTTAGCTCGTTGACTTGCCAATAGTCGTTGTTTATCTTTGGTTGGTCACCGCATCTGAGAGATCTTTGTACTTTTCTTTTATTTTTGGATAAATTAATTTTTTTCTGGTCCCCCGTTCCCCTAACTTTGCTTTCTGAAGACTCGGTGAAATTCGTTTTTTTAAAAAGACTACTCCACAATTAAATACCATACTACAAGCTGGCTCAAGAACTTCGATTTATAACCAACATTTTCCTCACCAGCTCACTTATAATGGCCCTTGGTCTGGTATACATTTACTTTTGAACATTTACCATTTTGATCTTTCAGAAATACCATTGCTTCCTTTATTCGCTGAATTAACTTATTACAAAACTTCCCAACTTTTCCTTCTGAAACATACGAAAGAAAATGTTTAATTTTCAAGACTTTATCTCCCATCTTGAAATCAACTTCTCGCCTCTTGTTAAAACTTTTGTTTCTCCAGGGCCTCATCCATTCATATCTGAATATCTGCCATCTTAATTACGGCAAACTTCTTTTGAACAAATAAACAAACAAACAAAAAGTTTATGGAGGAGTATAAATAACTTTCTGCAAAGAAATAATTCAGCCGGTATCTTGCCAGTAGTATCAGGCTTAGCCATCCTCAAGGCAAATACGAGTTTATTGAGACCGTCATTTCAAAGTTTGTGATGATCTTTTGCACAGCTGCGGATAATTTTAAATTTATTTCCATTCACCTGCTCTGAAATATTTGACTGTGGTCGATAAGGAACCATCTTAAAATACTGTATGCCAAGACCTGTACATTTACCTAAAAAAATTTGGCTAACGAATTGCTTTCTGTTGTCTGATATTATTTTAAGAGGAGCTTCATTCTTTAGTACAAATAAATCTATTTAAAAATGAATCTGCAAAAATTTTAGCAGATGTTCTTTAAGAGAATTATTTCCACCAATTTCGTAAAATGATCAATAGTCTCGAACAAATTTTTTGTTTATTTATTGTTTATTATTTGTGTTTATTTTTTTTACTATGCGGGTGCAGACCTAACAGATCAGTTCCTAGGATTTCGTTAGAAAATCTTACTATTATGCTATTTCGCCAAAGCTATAATTTTATCGTTAACTAACTGACAAATGTTGAGACTTCACGTATTCAGCTACAAATTCTTATAGCTGTAGGAAATTAATAGCTTCCCGTACTCTCTGAACTGTTTTTCTTATTCCTAAATGGCCTGAAATTGGCGCATCACGCAATTCAATTAAACTCTCTGGGATAACAGGTCTTAATTCATTATTATGATTTACACTTGATTATGATTATGATTGTTATTATATTATGATTGTTACTTTGGAGTTGAAAAAGAGACTGTCAATTATTTCCTGACTTGCACCATTGTTTCTAATATCC